ACCACCGGGATCGCTCGATCACTGGGATTGCTCGATCTTGATCGGCCGGATTGCTCGACGACCGGGATCGCTCGATCACTGGGATTGCTCGATCACTGGCGTCACCCGATGACCGAGATTGCTTGCCCGCTGGGATCACTCAACCACAGGGATCGCTTGACCCCCTGGGATCGCTTGATCTCTCCTATGTGATCACCCTGCTGCTGCTGCTCTAATAGGCAAATCGTTCCTGTGGCTTTAGAGAGGAGTTTTTAAACTCTCCGTGTGGGAACTCCTCTGTCTTCTTGTTTCAATTGCAGCTGAGCTCCTTACTATGTCCCTAAGTGAACATGCGTAACTATACATGTTTAAAACGTTTTGTTCAGTTTTCCGACCCGGTGTTGGATTTCAAGTTGTAGCTGTCGGCATTAAAGTTAGTCAACCGCCATTTCATGCTGCAAATGTGTGGCTTGTTGTGCAAGGTGATGAAGACAGCAGCCGGCCTGAGCTGAGATTATATACAGCTGGAGTCACTCCACAGCCCGAGCACGGAGGGCGCGTGGCCCTCTGCCACCCTGTAGGGGGCGTCACAGCCCAGTGTGCATTAACATGGATCGGAAATCTGGGCTGTCTGGGACCTGTCTGGGACCTGTCTCCGGGGCATCGAGCTTTGATCCCCGATGGGATTCTCCCCGCTGGGAAAATCAGAAATGTGCTTTACGTTCGGAGCGCGGTCAGCTGGCGGCTGAGTCCTTCTCCAGGACAAGCGCAGGCTTGGTGGGTGTGGACAGCACAGCCATAGCAATGCCCTCTTCTAGTCCAAAGGCACTGCGCTGGCTCGCTCACCGATCCCGATTTCCACTGCCGTGCCAAAGCCCCAGGCAGCTCAGACGCCATCAGGAGCCCCAGTTTGTGTGAGCAGATCCCCAGTGTGCTCAGGGCCTCCATGAGCGCTCAGTGCCGCAACGACTGTAATGGGCCATTAATGCTGACAACAACGAGACCCAGCCTGCCATTCTTGAATTGATCGCTGAACACAGCGGCCCAGATGCCTGATCACGGCGGCTCAGCGGTCATCGATTCTGGGTCTCCAGAGGAGCTCAGTCCATCAAGACTTCGCAGTCCTGAGTGACTCGGGTTCAAGCCCTGGCTTATGTCATTGGCGGGCTGTGACGCCTCCTGAGAGGGGACCCCCCACACACACACACCTGCTGGTCTTTTTGTCACCTGAGCGCTTGATTAAATAATCGAACCCGTAGCTGCCCTACTAACAGGTTCACTTGGAGCCCATCCGTGACGTTCAGCTCCTAACACGGAAGAGGAGGTTGCCTTTTCGGCTACTGCGTTTCCTGAGTCATTTAAGATCTCCGTCCTGGGAAGGTTCTCCAAGGCTCTTTCCGAGCGAACCTGCTGGTTCGCCTACAGAACCGAACGAAAGAGCTCAGCTGCAGTGAAAACCGGCAGGCGTGGCGCTTGAGCACTGTGGGTGACTGCCACCAGGGTCACCCTGTGTCCCCAGATCACAGGCACTGTGTTCCAGATCACAGGCACCCTGTGTCCCCAGATTACAGGCACTGTGTCTCCAGATCACAGGAACCCTCTGTCCCCAGATTACAGGCACCCTCTGTCCCCAGATCACAGACACTGTGTTCCAGATTACAGGCGCCCTGTGTCCCCAGATTACAGGCACTGTGTTCCTAGATTACAGGTGCCCTGTGTCCCCAGATCACAGACACTGTGTCCTCAGATTACAGGCACCCTCTGTCCCCAGATTACAGGCACCCTGTGTCCCCAGATTACAGGCAATGTGTCCCCAGATTACAGGCACCCTCTGTCCCCAGATTACAGGCACCCTGTGTCCCCAGATCACAGACACTGTGTCCTCAGATTACAGGCGCCCTGTGTCCCCAGATCATAGACACTGTGTCCCCAGATTACAGGCACCCTCTGTCCCCAGATTACAGGCACCCTCTGTCCCCAGATTACAGGCGCACTGTGTCTCCAGATCACAGGCACTGTGTCTCCAGATCACAGCCACCCTGGGTCCCCAGATCACAGACCCTGTGTCCCCAGATCATAGGCACCCTGTGTCTCCAGATCACAGACACTGCGTCTCTAGATTACAGGTACCCTGTGTCTCCAGATTACAGGCACTATGTCTCCAGATTACAGGCACCCTGTGTCCCCAGATCACAGACACTGTGTCCCCAGATTACAGGCACCCTGTGTCCCCAGATCACAGACACTGTGTCCCCAGATTACAGGCACCCTTTGTCTCCAGATCACAGACACTGCGTCTCCAGATTAGAGGCACCCTGTGTCTCCAGATCACAGACAGTGTGTCTCAAGGTCACAGGCACCCTGTGTCCCCAGATCACAGGCACTGTGTCACCAGATTACAGGCACCCTGTGTTTCCAGATCACAGACACTGTGTCCCCAGATTACAGGCACCCTGTGTCTCCAGATCACAGACACTGTGTCTCCAGATTACAGGCTCCCTGTGTCCCCAGATCACAGGCACTGTGTCTCCAGACTAAAGGCACCCTGTGTCCCCAGATTACAGGCACTGTGTCTCCAGATTACAGGCACCCTGTGTCCCCAGATCATAGACACTGTGTCCCCAGATTACAGGTTCCCATGGGAATGGTGCATTGGTGGGAAATGGGAAAAGGCATTTCAGCATTCCCTTCCTCAAGCTCTCCACTGGCTGGGATGAACTGGTCGTGATGTCGGATGCTTTGGGAATTTTTCTTTCTCCTATGGCAAGGCCTCTTCCTCCCGCCCTGTCATTCCTTCGGAAGCAGGTTCACCCCCCCAAAGTGCAAGGGGGGGGTCGTGGGGTGGCGGTATGTTTTTCTTTCCCCGGCGGGAAAACCATCCTGAGTGTTCTGCGCTCTGTGCTCGTTTGATTCTCCTGACAGGCTTTCTCCTTGTTTACGTGTCTGTTGTGGTCTCGGGGGGGGGGGAGAGACGGGTCTGGTAGCGCCTCTTGTAGTCCACCGGCTTGGATTCCACACGGCACGGCTCCTGCTTTGTCCAATCGCATTCCGGGAATTCCTTTCCCGCATTCGGAACAGGGAACAAGCACGGAACGCCCCGGCTCTCGGGCCGGGACACGTTTCCGGCAGGATCAACCGAAGAGTTCCAGGAGACCACCCCCCCCCCAGCTTCGGCAGAAAATCCCGTCGTTTTTTTGTTTTCCCGTTCCGCGGACGAAGAAGAGAAGCGGGGGAAAAGGGAAAGGGAGAGAGGCCCCGCCTGCTGCTTCCTCTCCGGCCCCCCCTCCTCCTCCTCCTCTCCTCTCCGCCCGGATCATAGCGGCGTACCGCCGGGCGCGGGCACCAGGGCGGCGCCACAGCCCCGGTCCCGGTGGCAGCTCTCCTCGCCGTGCACGATGAGCACGGGGAAGAGGAGCGCTTCCTGGTAAGGCGGGGGCCTCTCCTCCTCTTCCTCC